TCTCTCTTTCTCTCTGACAAATAAAATCTTCAAAAAAAAAAAAAAAAGTAACTTAATACCAAGGAGACACCTACTCCTTTCTACCTCTTGTAAGCAAACAAGTAAGTTTGAAGCAAGTTTTAAAACTGCAGGAAAAAGCTACTTCCTTGAATTGAGTTGTTTTTCCCCCTGTGAAGACCGAAGTTTTTCATTTACTCCTATATGCAGTGAGCAGAACCGACTGTTTGTAAAACAGGAATGTGTAGAGGGGCTTCTGTCTGCTGTCCAATAAAAACATTACAGGAACTACCCGTGTAATTTTAAATTTTCTAGTAGCCATATTTAAAAAGTAAAGAGAAACAGGAAGTTAATTTTAATAATATCTTATTCAACCCAATGTATCCAAAATACCATCATTTTAACCAACAATCAATATAAGAATTCATTAGTTAGGTATTTTACGTCTCCCCCCCCCCCTTTTTTTTGTACTAGGTCTTCAAAATTCGGTGTGTCTACTTCAGCACATCTCAATTCAGACTCCCCACATTTCCAATGCTCAAGAGCCACATGTGGCCAGTGGCTACCACACTGGACAGCGCAGGCCCAAGAGCAACTGAAAACATCAGAAGCACCAAGAGACACCTTCTCAAATGACGGCCGTTTAAAAAATAATATTAGTCAAAAACAAGAGTACTTACTGAATGATCCCATTTTACTAAGTTCTAAAGCAGGCAAAACTAAGCTATGATAGAAAGCAGGCTGGGGGGGGGGGTTGTGGACTGACTGGAAAGGGGCACGAGGGAACTTCCTGGGGACGCTGGAAACCAGATGGTGTACGTCCACGTTGGGGTAGTGGTTACACGGGTGTATAATTTGTCAAATCTCTGATCTGCACCCTTAAAATGGGGGCATTTTGTTGTATGTAAATTATACATCGAATCTGTAAAAACTGTTGCCGAAAGAAAGCTTTACTTAGCCCCAGTGCGCCCTAAGCAGCTATTCTGGGGAAAATGCTAGGGTCGTTGTTCAACCAGTGCACTGGGCGGGGGAGGGGACAGAAAGGCCATTTCACTCCGCGCGGGGCTTCACTTCCGCCAACGCCATCTCGGGGCTCTCTGGGCTCCCGAGGCCAGGGAGAAATGGGAACCGGGGTGCAGCCGGCCCTTGCGCCCCCTTCCGAGGCCCGTGCGGGGAGAAGCGCACCCCGGGAACGCGACGCTCCGGAGCCCCGGTCGTGGGCCGCCGCAGGGCGGGCTCCGACGGCACTGGGCGCCGGCAGGGCAGCCCCGGCCCCCGCCCGTCTGCCGTCCGCCGGCGGTTTGCGTGCGCCGGGTGCGGGGACGCGCCCGTTGCCGGCCCCTCTCCGACCCGGCGCGGGCGCCATCAGCGAGGGGACAAAGGCGCCCGGCCCCACGTGCACGCCTGGACTGGGGGCGCGGAGGCCCTGGGGACGCGGGGTGGCCACAGCGCGGAGGCCCTGGGGGTCCGGGGAAGGTCCGGGCGGGAGGTTACCTGCGCGGTGGTGGTGGCGCCGGGAGAGTGGCCGGTGGGGACAGCGCGCTCCGCCCCGCGGCGGGCCCGCGCTCACCTGTAGGGCTGGGGAAGGGGCCGCCGCTAGGGGTGTCCCTTGTCGCCACCGGGTCCTTCCCGCCGCCCGCGGGCCTCGGGGTGCGCGGCGCCCTCCTCGCCCACCTTTCCCTCTCCTGCTGCGGCGGGCCCCGCTGACTCACGCTGGTGAGCTTGGGGTTTGCACCCGCGTTTGTGCAGTGCTCCAAAACAAGCGTCTAAAAAGTCACTCCTCAGGCACAGACAGCTTCCCGCCACCCTCCGCCCTGGATGCACTTGGCCCCAGGCCTCGGTCAGCCCGGGGACTGCTCCTCCCCTCCGTGGCTCACTTAGCAGAGGCACTTCGGGGGCGCGGGTGAACGCCACGTTCCCGGCGAGCCCCCGCCTCTTGGCAAGGCGAGATCCTCACTCGGGTCCTCCCGTCCAGTTCTCACCACTGTAAAGAACTTCATACTGTCCACAAACGTTTGTGGATCCCTTACTGCGCTCCAGGAACTGCAGAAACGCTAAGAGGACTCAAATAGAACTCGACTCCTGCCTTTGAGGGGCTCACAGTCCAGAGGCAGGTCTACACGTCTATTGAAATCAGTAAAGTTCCCTGAGGCGCCTGGCTGGCTCAGTTGGTGGATTTCGATCTCCGGGATTGTAGGTTCAAGCCCTGTGTTGGGTGTAGAGATTACTTAAAATCTTAAAAGAAGGGGCGCCTGGGTGGCTCAGTCGGTTAAGCGACTGCCTTCGGCTCAGGTCATGATCCTGGAGTCCCTGGATCAAGTCCCGCATCGGGCTCCCTG